AATCTTGATCAGGGCCTCTGTGAAATGGTCGGCTAGTTCCGTAATGGGGTCATCCACCCCAGACCGACCAAACTGTGATTGCTATTTAGCCACCACCGTCTCAGGATCACGATCTTGGGCTTGACCACTGACCCCGGTCTTTATTACAACATAAAAATAGCTTTTCGAAGATGCTTGATCCCACAAATCTCCATGACACCCCTTGGAGTGGAAAACTTTATCTTTTGATGATAGGACGAATGCACCGCCCTCATTGTATGTAACTATGTCCTGTCCATGATGACATTATATTAAAAATCGGAGTCCATCACCACAAATTCTACTGGGATGGTAACGACCCTGGCGTTAACCATGAAAGTGATCTTCCCTAGGGGGAGGGCGTAGAAACCTACAAGGGGGTCCTTACCGATTTCAAGTCTTTTGGGGTGAACCCCATTTTGCGAAAGAGATTGTCATAAATCACCTCTAACGAACTACCCGATTCCACCAAAATCCTCTTGACATCAAACTTGTCGACCCGAAGAGTGATTACCAAAGTGTATTCATGCGGGAGTACTAACCCATTAAGGTCAGCATTGAAAAAGTGGATAGTCTCAGCGTTAGGGCGCAGCTTCTTAGACGACTGCTCCCCATACCTGCTTTCCTCCACCTTTACTACTTGCGAGACTCTTTGAAGGTCTCCCTGGAGGGAATTATACGTCGGTCTCTCAACCGTGTAAACATGTATTACTTAAATACGGTTGCCACTTCCTAAGACGCTTCAGCCCCTCCTCTGACCGAGACCAATTACTCGAGAAAGGATTTGTACACCCAACAATCTTCAGTTAGATGCCCCAAATCCTGATGATAAGAACACTGAGACGTTGAATCCTTCGAGGATGTGTCTCCTTGCATCTTTGGGGGCCACTTAAAGAAAGGTTGCCTTTTTTTTTTTATCTTGTGCAACATCTTGTAAATAGGTTCTTTGAAAACTATGTTCACCCCTTGAAAGGACAAACCATTCAGAGCCAGAATTACTGCCCCTCTCCTCGCGGGTGGTTCCTTCTCCATTTTCCTCGGCACTAGGGCCCTATTCTTGGGCACCATTGACTCTTCCTCCACCCTGGGGTACGTTTATCCATGCCATCAGGTCCTTTATGTCTTCTAGTTCCCGTTTGGTAATAGATCGATACAAGTCAGTATCTTGGGATAATCTCAGCCAAAATGTTGCTACAACCATGGCCTTTGGGCATGCCTTGATGTCATTAACCTCCTCCCAATACCTAATTACGTACTATCGAAGGTACTCTCCACTCCTCCGTTTGAGTGTTACCGATGTCTTTCGACTTTTTACTGCTGGTGATGAATCGAGCGACAAAGAGTTTGGTCATTTGCTTCCAAGATCTGATACTTTTAGGAACCAAGCTCTCATACCATTTCATCGTACTGTCCCCCAAGCTCATGGAAAAAACTTGGCACAATAGTCTTTGATCGGTGTCGTAAATGAACATCAGTTGCTTTTATTGTCATAGATGACTCTCAGGATCTGTTCTCCCATCATAAACCTTGAATCGGGGGACAATGAATTTCTTCGATATTTTAGTCTCTCGGATTACCCAAACAAATGGGGAGATGATTTGCTCATCTTTGTCTTCATCCTCGTTGGGGTATGGTCTTCGATGCTTGACATCCAAGCATTTTTCGAGATCCTCTTGGGGCATCACTTTTCTAGGCCCCTTTGCTGTAGAATCCGTATGAGACTCAGTTGTCGCGGCACCTTTTGACAATTTATGGCGGAGATCCCATCGAGAAAGGCCTACCCGGCGCCAATCCCCTCCTGATCTTTCCTCGGGGGAAGACATTCCCCAGCTCCAAGGGTTACGCTTCTCGCACAAGCGTTGGTGTAAGCTCCTCCTCGGGGCACCTAGCTTCTCACCCCTAGAATCATCTCGGTTGACACCTCGGTCTTCACGCTTGCTGCATCACCAGCTGGTGCTTCCTGATTGCTCAAAATCATCGAACTGATCATGCACATTGGTATTATCCTTCTCAAGTTGCTTAAGGCTGTTTTCCATCCATTTTTCCACCAACTCAATAATTTCACGAGTCAAAAGGCCTTGCCCCTCATGGCATTGATCCACGGAGAATGTTCGTTATGAGGCATGCTAGCCTCCATCTAATTGGTTCAAGGAGTTTGACTCAGTGACCACTGGGAGCCTGTTAGCTTCCGCGTTTCTCACGTGAAGGCTTCTCCCTCATTACCTTGAGATCGTGTGTTCACCATGATGTAATCGTTATGAGAAAAGTTTGTATGGTTCCCATAAACGATGCTAATTTGCACAGGAGAATTTTTGCAACGAATAGAGATTACGATCCACTATACGATGAATCTGAAACAACCAAAAGGTTAAGAAATGGGTCGGGTGAACACCCGGCTGATCTCCTATGAAGCCTAATTCAGTAGACGTTGGAGGCTTTAGTACAATATTTTTTTTTAGTTTTGTTTGCGTACCTTTGTTCATCTTTCTGAGGAGTATTTATACATAGACTAGCCATGAGTGCAAGAGCTTAGAGTCATGTCTCCACATTTAATGACTTGCACTCTTATCTATTCATAATGTGTGTCTTTCACTCAAATTCTCATGACTAATTCACTCGGTTGATAGGGTGATTGCTCGAAGCATGCTGAACACTTATGGCTCTATCCTTGATCATTTAAGTACATTTTATCGTGTTTGACACTTATTCCTGTGCGTTTACTACTTGAGACAAAAGACCTCGGGGTCTCTCGAGAACATCAGGTCTGCGTAATAGCCATTAATGCTTCGTAATGATGACTGTTTGTATGGGTCTCAAGAACACAGAGGCTCATTAATTGCCTTGTCATAGTCACTCAAGTACTCATTAATGGGTAGTCATGTCCTCTTTAATGTTGAGTTCAATCAGTTACCTTTGGCTCCTTTGGGCTATTACTCCTCGATGCCTTCTCTCGATGCCTTTTGAGTTCCATAAAGACTACATCTATCCACGTGTCAGCTTGAGGGTTGTTGAGCCTCCTAACATCCCGTCAGTTATGATGGATCAATAACTACATGGAGATCATACGTCGGTCCCTATCAGTCCCTGTAGGCTTGCTGGGTGAGGTGCTTTGGAGAAGCCAGTAACATGGTGACTTTATTTTATCTCTGGAAATACGATATTGTGATTGAAGAGACTAAACTACCAAACTGGGCATTGGTGAGATATCAATTGAACCAACTGCGATGCTTAAATCAGTATTTGAATGAAGTACTTAATGATCATGTTCTCTTGTGTGTGTTTGTTTTCATTTACCTTCTCCTTCATTAGAGGCCTAGAGGGGCATTTATAGGGAACTTTAGTGACATTGTGATTTGAGAGACCATCATTATCGACAATCATGGGGATTAAGTATCGTTCAAGCAATGTTGACTTGTTTTCATATCTGTCTACACTAGAGGTATGTCAGTGCTTTATCAGACGAATTAGGTGACCTTTTGTCTTAACGAGTGTTAGTAGGTCTGTTAGTAGACCGAAGCGAGGGCGGGGAGTGTAGTTTTCATCCCCGAACCAGCATAAAAAAACTCCGTCTATCTCCGGTTCACCTCTGTTAACGGATATAGTTTTTATTCCCATTTCTGTCCGCGGGTACATTTCTAATCCTCGTCCCCGTCCCCGTCCCCGTCCCCGCTTCCCCCATACCCGCCTAAGTCTAAGCCCAAGCCTAAGCTCAAGTCCAAGTAGCATAATTCAAAATTTTAAATAATTCAACAATATTTTAAATAATCTAACACAACATAATGTAGATAGCAAAATATAAAAGCCAAAACAATATAGTATTTTATTTAAAGTGTCATTGAACCACAAAAAGAGAAACGGAACTATTAGAGAGAAATGAAGAAAAGAAAAATAAAATTGAATTAAAAAAATTAAAATTTCTTAGAAGAATTTTTGTTATTACAATTCATATTACAGCCATAAAGTGTTAAAGTATGAAAACTTAAAATTTCGCTAATTCAATAATTCTCCTCATTTCTTAGTTTACTCTAGCAGAGAAACTCATCAACCTCCATTCACAATATTTTTACCTACGATGAAATGCAAAACTATCTTACTCTCTTTTATCTGTTTTTAGAGTATGGTCAATCCAAACTCCTAACAGTTTTAATTAGTGATCACAAATAGAAAAAAGAACAATTAGGAAAAAAAATTAATAAAATTACTACATAACAATGTCACTTATTAGTTTGATTACTATATTTCTACATTGGTAGTTACAGTAAATATGTTTAGTTAGGGTTGAAAAATATATATATAAAACGGATAGCGGGGGCGAGAAGGGAATAAAAGTAAATTCATCTCTGCTTTTATTTCTGTACGGATTTATATGAATATTTTCGTATACGTTTACTGTCCAGCGTCTAATACGTATAATTCATTTCTTGTCCAAACAAGACAAATTTAAATGAGTATTCATTTTTTTTTTTGGGTCCTCTACCATCCCTAAGTGTTACGCTGTGTCACACACCGTAGTTAGCTAAGAATCGGTGTAACTTTTTCCAACGCGAGTCATAGGCTGAGGTCCAAGGATTGTGCTTCCTATATATACCTATGCCTGGGGACTACGGTCAGGGCCGTTTACTCGGACCCTATCAAAAGGAAGTCAATGTTTAAGACAAATAAAAATTATCTAAATTCAAAGTTAAGCGGATTGAATTTACATGATCTTTCTGTTACTATTTGAACATCTCACAGGTTATATGTTCCGTGGCATGGCGCCGACTGCCGGTAGATTCTGCAATATTTGGGAGTGGTTGGATTGGACTTCTTAACCACACATCGTGCTCAAATTGTGTTATGTGGGGTCCATTACAATCCGTTACTGCCGAGTCGGATTTACTAATATTTTCCACCAACCCGACCCACTTGGCTCTCTTTCAGGTCACTGGCGGCGGAGACAGTACTTCCCCGTTTACGCGGAACACAGACTATTCTCCTCTGAACACCCCCGCTCAGAAAATCTTTCTAACATTTATACCTTTTCGCACATGCGAAATGTGAATCTCTCTCTCTCTCTCTCTCTCTCTCTCTCTCTTTTCGTCGAATCGTTGTTCTAATCTCTGCACATCCTCAGCGCAAACGATCATGGACTCGATCTTTTTCGCTGATCATCACGTCGTGGCCCCATTTTCCGGTACCATCTCCGCCGTCCACCACCACTATTTTCCGTGCACCCTCTCCTGTCACAACCGTATTTCTTTTCCTCGCCGCCGACGGCACGTCTCTGCCGGTTGCCCACCACGTCGGTTGTTAGCTCTTCCCTCTGCGGCCGCTGGCTTGACCAATTCCATGCCGGTTAGTCACCTCACCTCTCTATCGTCTCTGTAAATTTACTTATGTGTGCATATGTGTGTTGGTTTCATTATGCTCTGTTTAGTTTCTGTGATTTTGTCGGTAGAAAGAAGTACTAGGCGTTGTTCACCTATTAAAATTTATTGCAGGATTAATTGCAATTTGTCGGTGAGTCTAAAAGCTATCTAATACGTGATCCGAGATCAATTTCAAAGTTAGGCTAATGAAATGAAGTTTAACTATACTTGGACATTGGAAACGCACAATTGCTAAATCCAGGGATTCCCATTCTTTCCATTACATGTTACCCGGAGCAACCTTTTTTTTTCCACCAATTCTTCAACAAGGGTAGATAAAAGGTATTTTTTGGAACTAAAATTGAAAATAGGAAATTCATCCTCAACTGTATTTTCAGTATCCTAGAGTCTTAGTGTTAAGTATGGCAAGGATCTGGTATGTGTATGATATGCGACATCTGAAGAACAGAAAAACAATGATGCAGAAATCACACACAATGCTAGACAGATTTATGTGAAAAAATCCGAGTTTGACGCCAAATATACTATGATACCTGCAAAATACATAAATGGATACAAAGGTGGCTGCCATATGCGTTATTCCATGTTTTTAAGGCTACAAAAAATTGTGATGAAGTTACAATAGTACTGTTTCAACAAATGTGCCACATGTGGCGTCCAATCCCTTCTGGCTCCACATAACATTGTATTCAGTGCTGCTGTGGCTAGACTAATTTTTTGGTGCCAGATTTTCAGTTGGATTTAGCAGTTCACAACTGTTAAGACTAAAAAGTGTTGGCTGTTGCCGCAAACATTTCGTGGTGATTTCTGTAAATGCAGCTTTTTGATAATGCAAGAAACCAGTGGATGTTAATGAAACTTGGAGCATGCCCACATTCACATCTACACACAAGCACACGAGAAATGACACCTTTGCCAGTTTGCCACATGAATAACTGGGTTGGTCTAATCCAACAGAGAATACCACTGTAAAAATTTAGATTTGTGCAAAAACACATATGCTAGGAGTGAGTGATGCAAAAGCGCTTGTCAGTTGCTTATGCAAAAGCTTTGTCTGTGGAGTGAAAGTCGTTGAGAACCTCACTTTCTATTTCCCAAGTGAAGAGTGAAGGTTAACTACTGGAAGAATACGTACAATTGGGGAGATGGGGTTTGTTCTTGTTTGACACAGTTCAAAATGGAAAACCAAAGTGTTTTGGTAGGACAATGTAGCCTTACCAGCCATTCTTTCTCTTTCGTCCCCCATTCTTTCTCTCATTCCAATGAGTCTGCTTATTAGTTTGCAATTGTAGTCATTGAAGATATGCATGTCCCACCTCTTTTGCCACGTCTATGGCTCCCTTCACATGATTTGACGATTTTGAGCCCCTCTCATGTTCTATGACCAATTTGATGTCCAGCACGGGAAACCCTGGTTTGATGCTTTGTAAGCTTGTCAAGCATGCATTCAATGACATTATTAAGCCTTATGATAAGTATTTCAAGTCCAAGTGCAAGCGTTGTTCAAAATGCAATTACACTTCATTGATTGGGGGTGGTTACTACAATACTGCTTCTTGAAGGAGGGATTGATGCGCATCTAGATAATATATAGAGGGACCAGGGCCAGGAGTGAGAGTGAGAGTGAGAATGAGAGCGCAAAAGTGGAAAGATTTTTGGAAAAATTAAAAAAATCTTCGACCGGAGAGTGTCTTGAGAGCATCATATTATATGCATACATATATTCATTCATAGAAGCTCATAAAAGTATAATTTTAAAAATTAAGTTGCATGCACAACTGTGATAAAATGTTTAATCTTTAGCTATGTACTGATTATAAAGTCCCAAAATGGCATTCATAAATCACAAATATCATTCTATTTTTATACGTATCTTTAGTCATGAACTTGCACATATTAAATAAAAATTTGAATAATAATGAGTAAGCATATAAGCAAGTGGAAGTGCGAATTAGTTGAAATCGTGAGTTGATAAATTGTATCCACGAATTTGATAAATGAGAGTGCGAATTCAAAGTGAATTCGCTCCTAAAGTGAATTCACTTGCGGAGTGTCATAGCACTAGCTACTTCAGGTGAAGCACGTGACTTAGATGCGAATAAGATGAATCTAAGATTCTCTAATCCTTCAAGATGATTTGTTTTTGACGGCTTTCTTGAACATTGGTCATTTAATCTTGGTTTTGAAATTTTCCAACAGGCGTTTACCCATGGCAGTTGTGCATGAGACCATGACACACCATGGAAGCTTATTGCTAATTGTATTCACTTTGCAAATCACACTATCCTTTGTTCCTTTAAACCTCCTATGTTTCCCTTGGTTGGGTTAGGTGGCTGGGAATATTGCATTTATTACACTTCTTTGACTGTCATTGCGAATCTTCAACTTCAGTTTACCAATTCTGATGTCAATTTGTAGCCAAGAGAAGGAACATATACAGTTGGTGACTTTATGACAAAGAGAGAGGATTTACATGCTGTAAAGACTACAACAACTGTTGATGAAGGTATTTGTGATCATTGGTTTCCTGATGTTGGTATTTTACTATTGTTTTCAGTATGATTTATCAGTGTTTGTATCAACAGCCCTGGAGACTCTTGTGGAGAAAAGAATTACCGGCTTTCCTGTGATTGATGAAGATTGGAAATTGGTAATCATAGTTTCTTTCAAGTGGCAGTCTTTCCTATATGCCTCCCGGTCCTCACAGTGTAATTTTTCATTGTGTTACCCTCACATCCTTTGATTTTAAGCCCCTTATTTTCTTTGTTGCGGATGTTATAGCTGGATTATTGTCATAATAACATTTTTGCCTACATTCGTACTTTGAAATCATGGGTGAATATTTTCTTTTAGTGCATTTCCACGTTTCCAAGGGCAGTTGTACCATTGGAGAGGAGACATACTTTTGGACTTAAAAAAGATGAACAGAAATATTCTTATTTATTTATGATTTGAGGTTTGTGATTGGTGTTTTAATTTGTCACGCTCCCATTTTCCAATTCTAAATAATATAGTAGGAGGAGGGGCTGTTATGATTTTTGAGAATATTTTGTTACCGTGTATTAAAACAATGTTTCTTGTAGTTAGATTCAATTACTTTGATGCAGTGACTAAAAGTCAAATCTTTGCTGCAGGTTGGTGTTGTTTCAGATTATGACTTGTTAGCTCTTGACTCCATCTCAGGTACCCCTAGTGTTAATGAAACTACATTTTTACTTGTTAGGTCATTTCTTTTCCTCGAATGATATATTTTACGCGAGTTAAGGAATGTGGATACAATTTTTTGGACCAAATGTCTCTTAGGAAACACACTCTTACTGTGGGACTGTCCGTCTCTTTCTCTCCAGCTTAAAATTTCAAAATTATGTACAGACTTTGAAAGAAATATATATGAACTTTGTAGATGTTGATTGGATTTTTTTTACATCCAACAAAATTATTTATATATATATTTTTTGACATTTAGGTGGGGCTCAAGCTGACACAAACCTGTTTCCTGATGTCGATAGTACTTGGAAAGTATGTAATAATCTCCTCTTTTTCTTATCAGTTTTTAAATGCTTGCAAAATCCCCTGGCCTTTTTCTGATTATTTTTTTCATGTCCAATCTTTTGATTATTAATGCTGTACTTGTGAATCGTAGAGTTCTTTGCAAATTCAATCACCCAATGGGGAAACTATGATGAACCTAACCCATAGGCCCTACTATTTTAATACAGAAAATAATTGAAGATCATACAATGTAAAAGTAAAAAGCATGGCCTACATAGGAGTTGGAAACCTGGTCTGGATCCCTCAGTCTAGTGGCTGAACTGGTGATCCACCACTGCAATCGGTTTGGTACTTACGGGCGTTATTTTCTGGCTTGTCCTGTTTTGTTTGATCACTGAATTGGTGATCCACCTTTGAAGTTCGTTTGGTAACTTATGAACTGGTCAAGATTGGACCATGCTATAGATTGTTTTACTCGGTGGGGCTTTAAGCTGGCCTTTTAACTCAAGAAGGGTCTCAGTGACCCTGGTAAGTTGAGCCTCTCTTATAGTTGTTTCAAATCTCTTGGATAGTGAACCGATTGAAACACTGATGACTGAACAACATGGATTTTGTTTCTCAAAAAGTGTCATCTCTTTTTTATTTTGTTCTGTGTGATATCTTATATCAGTAAACACAACCTAAATATGTGTTTGTAATGAGCTACTCCTTGGATGGGTGAATTAGTTTGGATTTGATAACTCTTGATCCTCTGCAAATGTGTGTGTACTCGAGTAACCGCTGGATTCCAATCACTTGCATTGACATGTGATCACAGTTCTATTATTGTAAAAATTGAACTTACAAATTGATCTAACTAAGAATAAATGATTAGAAAGTGCTCCTATAAAGTTAAGGTCTTCTTGTTAGAATAAAATTGCTAAAGAAGATGTGATGGCCTGTGGGCTTGCCTCTGCCATTTCTTGAGCAAATTGTTTAGGGTCCCTGTCTTGGTAAAGCTAGCATGTCAAATGAAAGGAATATAATTCCTCTTACGGCCATAATTCATGTTGTCCAAGAATTTTTTATGAAGCTCTTACCATGAAAATTTGTTTTGCTGTATGGAGAGACTTGTAGTCCTTAACCTTTCTGCATATTTGCATAGTAGAAGATGTGATATGATTTGAGTGTCCATTAGACATGGTGACAGCACCTAAAACTGGAATTTATAGATGTACCATTTTTCTCTTCCTTTGTTACATTCATTCTATTAGAAAGCAGAGGAAATTGTAGCTATTCACTGTGAGACAGAATTCTTTGTCCTCTACTGTTTTCTCTAATTGTTGATAGTATTGTAGACATTCAATGAGATTCAGAAACTGCTTGGCAAAACCAATGGGAAAGTTGTTGGCGACTTGATGACACCTGCTCCGCTTGTTGTTCGTGAAACTACCAACCTTGAGGATGCTGTGAGGTACTTGTGTCCTATTGTTTCCAAATTTCAAGTACATCAATTTGGGTAGTTTAGATGTGGCGTTTTGTCATTGCAATCAGATAGTCCAAGTTTTTGAATGGCTTTGCTATAAGGATTGGAAAACCAACAAGCACATATTCCAACGTCCCAGTTGTCCTCTGACAGTTCTCTAGGGTGGCACTTCTGTTCTACAACTTTAACTGTCTGGAAAAGAGTTCATATGGGTTTGTTAGAATCGTGTTTCACCTATTTCTGTACAAAGGCAACTATTGTACTGAATTCACAGACAATATTCAACTATGCCTAATTCACAGAGTGAAGAAACCATCATGTGCACTCAAAATGTAATCATGTTCTTGCTTGTGGAAGTTGGAACTCTATGTACACTTAATTATTTTTTCTAATTGTAGGTTGTTGCTAGAGACAAAATACCGTCGACTGCCAGTTGTAGATGGTGATGGCAAGCTGGTAAATCTTATATTTATATTTGTAACTAAACACAATAATGGTCCTTCAAATATGCACCTAGCTGCACTTTGGTTCGCCAATAACCAACTATATCACTTTGTTCCTTAAAATTTGAAATTTGTGTTTAAAGGTCTGATCATCTGATCATTGATAACCACCTAAATTACTAGTGGAATTGGTCATGAGTGACACTCATGAGGGTATCTAAGGGGATTTGGTGGAAGTTTTTTCAAAGACCCTGAAAGAAGATATGTCAAAGTTGTCCCATCTACTCCCCTCCTCTCTTTTATCAGCAGAACACATGACAAAGGAGAACACATTTTTTCCTCAGTGTACTGGTTGTTTGGATATGAGGGGGGTTTGCAGAGAAATGGGTCCTTTTCATTGATGGCTTTGCAGGGTAGAGGTTTCTGGAAAATGGGGATGGCTTGGATTTCTCGCATCTGTCTACTGATAGGTCTATTGGTTGTTGCTTTTTTCAATATAAGTTTCATTACTTGAAACACTTGAAAATTTGCTTATTTAACAAGGTTCTTAGCATGGTTCAAAAAAAAGAAAAAAAGATTCTTAACTGGGCCTCTGATTATGATATTTTAGCCATTCTTGCATGTAGTTTTTGATTTTTTTGAAGAATTGTGAGCCATAAATTTTGCTCTGATTGATTGGTTGTAGCATCACCTTGTATAATTTTTTTCACCATGCATATTTTTGTGGGTTCTGAGAGTTTTGTTGCTGTTTATTATTGTTTGGAGAATTGAGGGCTTTGGGCGTTTGTTTGAGGTACCGTTGTATTGTGTTGGACTGTGGAGCTGTTTCTATTTGCTTTTTAAATGCCCAACATGAAAATGAGGAGAATTGGGTTGGCATACTCCCCTGTGATATTTTTCCCCCTATTCATTTACATTTCTCTCCATTTGATCATTGCCTTGAGGGTTTTGTTCTGGCTTTGTTACCGCACTTTGCTGCAGTGTGGACAAAACAAGGCGAAGATGTTTCTACGAAAGGAGAATTAGTTTCTCATGTTCCTTTGCTTTCACAGCAGAAGTGGCTTCTACTAGTTTTCTTCTTCCTCTTTTCCTTCTCTTTCTGTTTCTTTTTTTCTGCTGGGCAGGGAGAGGGGTTGGATTGATCGGAGTGGGAGAGAAAGATGAGTCAGATTTGACCCATCTACTTTGGTGGGTCATCAAAATTGTTTCCCAAATGCCCACCAGATACTTTCACGTGTTTGCACATGATCAATTCGTTTTCAATTTAGAAGGTCGTATATAATTATTGAACCTTTTAAACCCAAATTTCAAACTTTTAAGGACCTAAGTGACAATTTATCCGGACCAAAGTGCGACTGAGTTCATAATTGTGGGACCATTAGTATGTTTAATCCTCTTATTAGTGTTCATTTGCTGGGATTTCATTATATTTGGTTGCCTATCGGCAGTAAGCAACAATAAATTTTAATTTTTCTCCTGTTGCAATGTTAAAGGTTGGAATTATTACAAGGGGAAATGTCGTCAGAGCTGCTCTTAAGATCAAACGAGCTTTTGAGAAGATGCCATAGTTCCAAGATCAGATGATTCGAGATCACTGAAGCATATCAGATTTTTTCATTTTGTGGTTCCTGGTACATTGTTGGGCCAATTCTATCATCAACTGGATGGAGGTAATTGATTCTTATTCCGGGTAAGTTACCCGGCCGACTACATCAATTTCTGATATGTGAGATTGATCTCTGATTGCCGGGAACTCTCTTGTTACAGTATCTTGACTCTCTAGATTAGTTATTTAAATGGCAGTAAATATCCATGATAAAAATTGAGAAAGTTTGGATGAGATTGGAGTTAGCTAAGCAGCAGTTCTTGAGCACAATTTTGTATCATATTTATTGGCTTGTACACGATGACCACGTAACTACCGTATGAATAAGCTTTAGTTATAGTGTAGTAAAGTGCCAGTTTTTGGAGCTGAATGTGTGAACTTATGTGCTAAAGAAATTTTCGTGCCTTATCAGAATGATGTGTCATGCATACGGCAGTGAAGTCCTGGACAAGAGGTGAATAATTTTTTTCCTTATTTTTCTATGGTCCGTGGGGAAAAAGCGGCAAGGTACGCAAAAATGCGTGACTGTCAATTTTTTGTCATTAAATATTATTTAAATGTGTGGTTGTAAATTTTTTGTTATTAAATGTTATTTACTAAAGGTGATAACTTTGCCTATAAGGGCTAGTTTGTTTCGGAGATAAGAGTGATATAAAGAGATAGAATTAGGGAAATAGTACGTGGTACCTATCTTATACCTTGTTTTTTTAGTATTTTATAGACAGTATTATTTTTTGGATCGTAATACCGACCTGGTTTAAAAGTATCTTTAATGCCTTTCACATGGAATTAATGAATATCACCTATTAGGTGATATTATTTTCTGGGTACAAATGGAAGGACGATATAAGAGAATAAAATGACACAAATGTGTCCTTGCGAGAAAAGTTCACATATAAAAAATTTATTTTGAATTTTTTTTATATTATATTTAAGTGTACGATGTCACCGTTTTTTTTTTAATTTTTTTTCTTATATTATCTTTAAGCGTACGGTGTTAACGGTTTTTTTTTTAATTTTTTTAAAAAAAATTATTTTAAATTTTTTACTTTATTATATTTAATAGTACGGTNCCCCTTTTTATCCTTAATGGCCAGGTCAAACTCTTGGAGTAAGAGTATCCATCTTAAGAGCCTAGGCTTAGTTTCCTTCTTTGTGAGGAAGAATTTTAGGGTTGCATGTTCAATGAATACAGTAACAGAANAATTTTTTTAAAAAAAATTATTTTAAATTTTTTACTTTATTATATTTAATAGTACGGTGTCACCGATTTTTTTTTAAATTTTTTAAAATAATTATTTTAATTTTTTTTTGTTGTATTATGTTTAAGCGTACGATACTACTAATTTTTTTTAAAAAATTTTTTTTTTTAAAATTTATTTTGAATTTTTTTCTTGTATTATGTTGAAGTGTACAATGTTATTGATTTTTATTTTTAAGTTTTTTTTAAAAAAATTATTTTAAATAGAATGGATGATGTTAAAGAATGAAAGATGTTAAGCGTANTTAATTTTTTTAAAAAAAATTATTTTAAATTTTTTACTTTATTATGTTTAATAGTACGGTGTCACCGATTTTTTTTTAAATTTTTTAAAATAATTATTTTAATTTTTTTTTATTGTATTATGTTTAAGCGTACGATACTACTAATTTTTTTTAAAAAAATTTTTTTTTTTAAATTTATTTTGAATTTTTTTCTTGTATTATGTTGAAGTGTACAATGTTATTGATTTTTATTTTTAAGTTTTTTTAAAAAAAATTATTTTAAATAGAATGGATGATGTTAAAGAATGAAAGATGTTAAGCGTAAAATAATATATTTGTTATATAAGATGTGATATAATAGATGGTTGTTTGTGGAATTCACTATAGTACCTATTGAATAAACAAACATGAGAGGGAATTGAAATAATTTTTATTATCGGTACTAATGTCCATTAGTATTGGAAGTGTAAGGAATATATTTTCAATACTAGACTTATATAATACTTGAAACAAACATGCCCTAAATGTAATAACATTGCTTGAAAGGGTTGTAACTTACCTCAAAAGATTGTAAACTCACTTCAAAAGATTGTAAGTTCGTCTCACATCTAGAGGTGATGTTTTTACCTTGAGTGTTTGTAACTTAACTTTAAATAGTTATAACTTACCATAAATTATTATAACCTCACATCAAAAAGTTGTAATTTAACATCTAAAGGTGGTAATTTTACCTATATAGAATGTAATTTACTCTCAAATGATTATAATCTCACATTTAAATATAGTAATTTTATTTTTAATTATTGTAACCTTATCTAAAGAGTTTGTACATCACCTTTTAAGGTGATAACTTTATTTTAAGAGTAATAATTTTGTCTTTACAAGTAGTAACATTACATTTAATAGTCTTGATCAATCATTATTAATTAAGATCGATCTCAATGCCAAATTATTTTATTTTTTTGTTATTCCACTCAATTAGGATCGATCATGATTATCTAGGATCGATCCCAATGCCAAATTATTTATTTATTTTATTTGGCGATTCCACTCAATTATGATTGATCATGACTATATGAGATCGATTGTAACGCATTTGATGATCCAAAAATTATACCAAACTAAATTTTTGGTGGTTCCAATTAAATAGGATTGATCATGTTGGGCGGATTTTTTTTAACTTTTGAGATAAAATTACAACAATCGAAAGTAAAATTACTATATTTGAAAGTGAGGTTATAATCGTTTGAAGGTAAATTACATTCTATATAAGTAAAATTACCATTTTTAGATGTTAAATTATAATTTTTTGATGCGAGGTTATAATTATTTATGATAAAATTACTATCTTTGGATATGAAGTTATAACTATTTAAGGTAAAATTACAAGTACTAAAAGTAAAAATATCACCTCTAGACGTGAAATGAACTTACAATCTTTTAAGATGAGTTTACAACCTTTTAAAGTAATGTTATTAAGAAAATTATCACATTTAGCGAGTAATATTTAATGACAAAAAATTTATAATCACACATTTAAATAATATTTAATGACAAAAAATTAATAATCACACATTTTTTTTATGTTACAGCACCTTTTTTTTCTTTGGTGGTACCATAGACTCCATTATGTTTTGTGGGGGTTACATAGAGGTCCAATTTAGAGTGACTTGACATGTGTTTGTCCTCTCATCCGGGGGTGGGGGTCCGAGCCTGGGAATCAAAGGACATGAGTCCGTACCGCTGTTTTGGAGGATTAGGGCTCCAATAAGTGAGGGTCTCGTGTCGTGTTTATTTTAAGATTTAAAGAAATTTTTTTTTTCAAATGATTTTTGAGTTTTAAATATTAATTTAAATTATTCATTATGTATATTTAATAATCGTATTGATTTTATAATTATTCGTGTCAGATTTGTGTAAGATTCAGTGTGGCCCGACATCACAATGGCTGAACTGAATGGGCTCGACCTGAAAAGTTCCAAGCAGGTGGTGGTTCAGTAGAGATACATTGATTATGAAAGTTTTCTAAAAAGATTAGCATGAGAACCCCTAATCCTAGTCTCAACGTCGAAGAGAGTGTCTTATGTCGTTCCATTTTTTCAATTAGCTAGCAAATGGGTGAATAATAGGACATCCAAAATTTTTTGACGGTACCAAATCCTGTCTTATTTATTTATTTTTTTTTGTTGCGTAGAACCCATTTGTCACCTCTATGTAAATTGAAAAAGTTGCTTTCACGATGATATCATCCACGTTTTTTTTTTTTTTTGATTCACAGCTGACTTTTACTCTGTTAGGTAAGTGGTTAGGTGTGTAATAATGATATAAAATTTTAAAAATTATAATTCATATATATATTATCTATGAGATGAGTGATTTTTATTAGTTTTTTTTCTATAAGACTCACTTATCCAAAACTCATCTAAAGGATGATATGTATTTGAATTTTATTTAGGTAATGTGTTATTTTTCTTTTCATCAAACTTTCGAGATCAAGATGATTGTAAAAATTNTTCTATAAGACTCACTCATCTAAAATTCATCTAAATGATGATATGTATTTGAATTTTATTTATGTAATGTGTTATTTTTCTTTTCATCAAACTTTCGAGATCAAGATGATTGTAAAAATTGATTCAGTAATATGATCCTGTAAACTCGAATTTAACCAATATATTTGTGATTTTAGGATGCTTACGTGAAAATTTATGATATAATTATGAGTTTAAAAAATTTACGGGTGCAATAATTTGGGGTAAATTGAAGGGGAAAAAATCTTTATTTGAGATTTACTCATTTATTAGCACATATATATACATATTGGGTTCGTTTGGTAGAGGTATTATGAGGGGACTAAACATTTGATTGTATTATTTTTTATTTAATCGGACCTAATACTTTGTTTGGTAAGTAAATTTGAGATCGTATTAATTTCAAAAACGTATATTAATCGTATATTTTTTATACATTAGACCTGTATTGTGAAAATATTTTAATACCATCAAAAGAGGTGGTATTATAATCCAACTCAAACGTATTATTTTACACATTTTACCATTATAACTCCTCAACTGATAAAATTAAACTGTTATCAATGTAACAAACACTGATTTTGGATATTTTTGTTAATTTAACATTAATACGATAAAATAATTTTTTAACCAAACAATCGATTGGATTAAATAACTATTATTCAACGTTTATGTTGTGTATTACCAAACACTATATAAAATTACGTATTATTCTAATACCCTATTTAGACTTGTCTTTTGTCCTACTGTATTGTATTAGATTGAATTATTTTATCTAATCCATTCATTTCTAATACGACAATCAAACGAGCCCATTGTGTACCTTATTCTTTGGGGGCAAAAAGCAGTTTGCATCTTGAAAGATTAAAAAAAATTTAAACTGCATCTTTAAAGATTAATTATTTTAAATTACATCTTCAATTAAATTAATTAGTAGTAATGTGAACCCAACCATAACGTTTGTTGCGATTTTTATCAAATTGTCAATCACGTTCGTGAAGATTTTTGTTGAATTATGATGCTTTCTCTTTTCATGTGCTTGTCAATTCAATAAAAATTGTCATGGATGTCATGCTTGAAATTGCGATTTTCGTTAAATTGACAGTCATGTAAAATACATATAATGACTTTCATTAGATTTTTCATTAGATTATGACCCTTCCCTTTTTCACGTACATCTTTTGTGGCTGTCAATTTGAAGAAAATTACAATAGACGAAAATTACAATAGACGTTATGATTGGGGTCATATTGCTCTCAATTAATTTAATCGATGGTGCAAATTAAGAATTTATAATCTTTTGGGGTGTAAAATGCCATTTGCCCTATTCTTTGTGATATTTATACACCCTAAAGACAGGAAAATTAGCTCGGGCTTTTTTCATCTTCTACCTCTTACATCATTTGATAGAAAGGCTCTAAGTGCTTTTACAAAGGCAAATGGGTCAGCCTCGTGTGTTGTTCTTTCCATTCATGGCTCATGGCCACATGATTCCAACCTTAGACATGGCCATACTTTTTGCTTCACGAGGTGTGAAATCCACCATAATCACAACTCTTGTCAATGAGTCTATTTTCTCCAAAACCATCGAAAGAACCAAGTTTTTGGGCATGAAGATTGGCCTCCATATCATCAAATTCCCAGTTGCCGAGGCGGGGTTGCCGGAAGGATGTGAGAGTTTAACTTTCACTACCAATGAAATGGTGCCCATGTTCTTCAAAGCAACGACCATGCTTCAACAACCACTCGAGCAAGTCCTACAATAATTCCGTCCTGATTGCCTAGTCGCTGACATGTTCTTTCCGTGGGCTAAGACTAGTTTTCCATGGAACTTGTTATTTTGCGTTGTGTGCCATGGAGAGTGTGAGACTTTACGAGCCTTTCAAGAACGTGTCCTCTGACTCTGAACCTATTGCTTTGCCTAATCTCCCACACGACATAACTTTCATTAAAACCCAAGTGAATCCTCATGAGCGAAGAGAGATTGAAACAGACATGGGAAAGTTGTTTAGTGAAGTGAAGGAGTCAGAGTTGATTAGCTATGGCGTCATAGTTAATAGTTTTTATGAGCTTGAACCCGAATATTCTAACCATTACACGAAGGTTTTTGGCAGAAGGGCGTGGCATATAGGGCCACTTTTACTTTGTAATGTGGATATTGAAGATAAAGCAGAGAGAGGAAAGAAAGCATCCATAGATAAACACGAGTGTATAGAGTGGCTTAAATCGAAGAAACCCAATTCTGTTGTATATTTGTGTTTCGTAAGCATGACTAATTTTACCGTTGCTCAATTGTACAAGATTGCGATGGGGCTTGAATCTTCAGGACAATAATTTATCTGGGTTGTTCGGAGAGGGAAGGATGAGGAGGACGAAGAAAAGTGGTTGCCTGAAGGATTTGAAGAGAGAGTGAAAGGGAAGGGCTTGGTAATAAGAGGGTGGGCCCCCCAAGTGTTGATACTTGATCAAGAAGCTGTTGGAAGTTTCGTGACTCATTGTGGGTGGAATTCTATGTTGGAGGGGGTGTGTGCAGGGTTGTCAATGGTGACATGGCCGTTGTTTGCTGAGCAGTTTTATAATGAAAAGCTAGTGACTGAAATTTTGAAGATTGGGGTTAATGTTGGGTCTAAGGAGTGGAATGAATTGGTAAGTGAGGGAGTGAAATGTGATGCCATAGAGAAGGCGGTGAATCAAATAATGGTGGGGGAAGAAGCTGAGGTAATGAGAAGCCGAGCGAAGAGGTTTAAGGAGATGGCAAGGAAGGCGGTTGAAAATGGTGGATCTTCTTACTTTGCTATGAATGTTTTGACTGAAGAATTGAGTTCCTATCATTCTGCAAAAGGGTAGAAAATCAGATCAACTCAGATTGTGATTGTGATTGTATTTGATAATCACTTGTCTTTGTGTTTTTTTTTTGTTTTTTTTAATTTTTATCGAAATAAAAAATAAAAAACGTGTTTGGGATCTATTTTCATTTTCTATAAGATACCTTATTTTAAAAACAAATCCTAAAAATACAAACAGAGAAAAGGTATTTTCATAAATACCTAAAAACACAAACAAACGTGTGTTACGAGTTTCATTATCCAAACTTCAAATTTTGTTAGCAGCAAAAAATAACATTTTTTGCATAGGCTATAAAAATCCTCCTTTTATTTATTCTTCTTTCTCTCTGCAGACTTTAGAGCTTCCTCCACTCCTCTCTCATCCTCTCGTCTCTCTCATATCTCACCTTTCAAATCTTTTTGATCGCTCTCTCCATCTTAGATTTGCTGGGTTGTTTATTGATTTTGTATCTCAAATCTACTGTGTATGTGTTTGTGTTTGCATGGGTGCGTGGGTTTGTGTGTGCATTTTAATCGTATCAAATTAAAATATCCAATAATCAATAACTTCAATTCGTCGTACTCTTCTATATCGTTGGGATAATCAATATGCGCAAAATGACCCAAACCCGACACAATCCGACACATGATTATTCGTATTCCAATGTAATTACAACATGTCCACTTGCTGATGGTTGATAAGAAAAATATAAAGGGAGAAAAATGTTTGTAAGAACCATCGATCATTACTCTTTTGTTTTTTTCTCTCTCCTGCTGGCTATGGTGGGTGTTCCCCAAATATGTATCAAAGACACCAAAATCTAATAAAAGATGCGTATGCAGGAGTGTCATTTAAGTTTTGTGCTCTTTCTCATATAACTTTCTGCTTTCTTGGACCCACATTTCTGTCGATTAGTCATTGCTATTGTCATAAACCTCTCTGTCTCTCTCTCTCTCTCTCTCTCTCNTGTTTTCTTGGACCCACATTTCTGTCGATTAGTCATTGCTATTGTCATAAACCTCTCTCTCTCTCTCTCTCTCTCTCCATTTTCAATATTTTTGCATCACAGAAGTTTTCAGAAAGAATAACCATCAACAGCTCAACAAGAAGTTAATTCAACAGAGGTGGATGGAAGTATTGGTTAAAAAAACGTGATATAATTTCTTTTAATAGTATTAGAGTAGGGATAAATTAAAATTATTATTAAATAAAATAATAATAAAATAAAAAAATATTTAACTTATTTAAAATTTATTTTTATTGCTTTTTGTGATGTAAAATTATTAATTATAATTTTTTTATATTCAATGTTTGCTAATATATATCACTTTCAATAGATAATATAACCAATCCATTTAATTTATTTTAAGACATAGTTGATCGCACATATAATTTTATTAATTTTAATATTAAAATTTTTTTCGACAAAAACAACTTATGACAGGTATTGTCAATAAAATTTTATAAGCTATGCATGCATTTGGACAGTCGGAGTCTTCTTTTTTTTTTTTTTTGGTTTCTCACTTGCTGAGGTATATTTTTTTGTTGACATATTCACGATTAGACAAATTGTTTTTAACAAAATAAAATCTAAAAACAGTAAAAAAATACTCAAAGATTAAACGATTACTATATTACAAAGATCAATAGTAACATAACAGTAGCACTTGATTACTTGATTAATAAGAGATTTTATTCGAGATTTATTCATATTTCAAATCGAATAATAAGGTAATGAAGAGAGAGAAAAAGGGTGTGATTTGAATAGAGTTGACCGTTGGTTGTAGAATTTTACAAAGAGTGGGAGATAAAAGAGGGTTTTTATTTTTTCTTTTGATCAGGTGAGACAAAAGAGTTGGTTTGAGCTTTTTATCATTAAATAGGATTGACCTACATTCAACAAATAATTAAAAGGTGATGTATATATTAGGGGCTCTTTTATTTTTTGGGCCCAAAGCAGGCATTTTAATGACTTTATGGTATGGGCCGCCCCTGCACGGGGTAGTGGGAGTCGTAAGTTATCTAAATTATTTTTTTATTAATATTTATGTATTACGTGATAAATTTATGATAAAAAATTATTAATAATTTAGACGCTGTCTGTTTGAAGGACCATATATAAATACTAGTCATTACTCGTGCCTGAAGACACTATACAACAAACAATTTTTTTTTTAAACAATTGTCCAAATTCAAAAGAAATGACGTAAAAATATTCATATAAATTTTTCTTTTAAAATGACTCAAAATATATTGTCGATTATATCCTCCATATTAATCAAACTGTCATAAAAATATATAAAAACTCTCCAAAATAACACCATATATACAAATGCCTATGAAAAAATATATTAACATAATCCATTAAAATTTGTAATCTTTAAGTAATAAATTAAATAAATAAAATCTTGCTCATTTATAAGACTCACGAATTATCACCTTTATTACCACTTCATCCAATAACACAACATAATTATCAACTCAACTACCATATTTCCAATCCACCTTATCTCTATGTAATAAATACCTGAAGAAAAAAAAAATATAAACAGAATAAAATTAAATTAGCAATCTTTAAACGGTAAATAAAATTAACCAAATTTTGCTCATTTATAAACTTATGAATTTATCATCACTATCACCATTCAACCCCAAATGACACAATATAATTATAAATTTAATCACTAAATGTTCAATCCTCCACATGTAAATATACATAAAAACACACTTAGACATTTCTTTTTTAGTTACCAACAAACCCTTATAATCAATAATTGCTNTAAAAACACACTTAGACATTTTTTTTTAGTTACCAACAAACCCTTATAATCAATAATTGCTTTTATTAGAAATTCAATAATTTAAGTTTTTAAGGTAAAATAATAATACATTAATGTTTAATTAAAAAATAGGGATATTTTCTGAGTTTTGAAAATATTACACGAACACCTCATGATATTTTATAAATGACACGGAGGTCCCCTGAGGTTTTTTATTCATTGCACGGAGACCCCCTCTTTCTCCCTTTCGTCAATGTTGCAAACAAAAATTGATAATTTTATCCGAAAAAACTTTATTATTTTTACATTTGTCCTTCTCCAAATTTAGTACCAAAAAAATTAAAAATTTAATAAAATAAAATAAATTTTGATTTAGTACTCAAAAAATTGATATAATTTAGTACTCCAAAAAATTGATTAAATAAATTTTAATATTAATTTGATATTCGATAAAATTGAATATAAATTAGACAAAATTAAGTGTCAATTTTTGATAAAATATATATTAATTTACAATTTAAGGTTCATTTTATTTTAAATATTATTTGGTGTTTATAGTTAATGTGCTAATTTTTATTTACATTCAGTGTTATTTACAAATTAAGAAGCAAGTAACAAAATACATATGGTCAAATGTATAAAAATTTTGAATTAGTTTTTAGGAATAAATAATTGGATGACATGTATTTTCATATGTTTTATGGAGTNCAATTTAAGGTTCATTTTATCTTAAATATTATTTGGTGCTTATAGTTAATGTGCTAATTTTTATTTACATTCAGTGTTATTTACAAATTAAGAAGCAAGTAACAAAATACATATGGTCAAATGTATAAAAATTTTGAATTAGTTTTTAGGAATAAATAATTGGATGACATGTATTTTCATATGTTTTATGGAGTAAATAATAACAAAAACAACACGAGAAAAAAAGAAGATAATAGTATGAGAGAGAGAGAGAGAGAATGTTAGATAGATAGATAGCTAAAAAGAATTATATGAGAGATTTAGAGTTGTAAAAAAATGAGAGTCTAATTAGGACCATTAGATCAAAACGATCTGAACCGCGAAAAGTTAAAGACAAATAATCTAACTACTTTATTATATAGATATATATATATATATATATATATATATATATATAGAGAGAGAGAGAGAGAGAGAGAGAGAGAGAGAGAAAATGAGATAATGTATTTAAAACGTCTAGGAGATGAGAGAGAGAGAAAGTTAAGTTCAATTATGACCGTTAGATCAGTATTTATGAAATGATGTGAACTGTCTTTTATGTTGAAATTACGTTATCCGTTGTTCGTTAGATATGTTTATGTTTTGTCTCAAAACGATCTGAATCATTTTTTGTCTCTAAATTCAAACTCAGCTCTACTTTATTATATAGATATATAATACTTCAAGGACCAAAATAATGCAATTGAAACATTAGAGACCAAAATGAGATAAATTTCATACTTTAGAGATCTCTAGTGCAATTAACCCTTATAACTTAAAATTTGAAAGTTATAACTTACATGATTAATCATATTTTTTACAAGATAAACTTATACTATAAAAAATTATAACTTAATTTTAAAACATTATAATTTTTGATACAATACTACCGCCGCGGGTGTAGACTTTCCCTCATTAAGGAGACCCATATGAACATCCATTGCAACTCTTGATTGGTCGTGATCAGCCATAACAGACAGCACAACTAAAATCCAGAACTTGTCCATGGTATTGAAAAATTAAATTTTGGTACTATATATCAATTTATCACATTTATAAATATTTTTATCGCTATTGTAGATATTTTTATCATTGTTGTGGTGCCACAACAATAATAAAAATACTCAGAACAGTGATAAAAACACTTACAAATATGATAAATTACATTAAAATTTAAAATTTTACATATGTCACTCATCTAGTACTGTATTGGAAGAAATTGAAGAGAAAGGATAATCAAGGGGATCTCAATCCGTTAGTAAGAACCTTTTACTCAACTTACCAAAAAAAAAAGAAAGAAAAAAAACTGGAATCCGTTGAAAAGATGCGCATATGCTGGAGAGAAATGGCCAAATCTTCCTCGTTCTCTCATTTTCCCCTTTCTAGGAACCACACTGCTCTTTGTCAATTATATGGTAGAAAAAAAGAAAAAGATTGACTTTTCTTTCCTTTTTCACCAAGTATTCGAGACCAAGATGGCATGTGCAATAACATCAGGGTAGCCGCATACCATTAGAGACTAAAAGTGAACTTTGCTTTTAAAATTATTTAGTAAAGCTCTCAAGTCTCAAGTCTCAAGTCTCAAGTCCTCCTCGTAAACAGCCTATGTTTATGGACACCATGTTCTTGCCATACAAAAAAAGTTAGCTGAGTTCTCTCTCTCTCTCTCTCTTTCTCTCTCTCCATCTTCAAACATTTTTCATCATTTGATGGGAATGCAAATTTGTCAGCTTCATGTGTTGTTCTTTCCCTTAATGGTTCATGGCCACATGATACCAATCTTGGACATGGCCAAACTCTTCACTTTACGTGGTGTCAAAATTACCATAACCACAACTCCTCTCAATTCGTATATTTTCTTAAAAACAATCGAAGCAAGCAAGAATTTGGGCATTGAAATTGGCCTCCACATCATCAAATTCCTGGCGGCTGAGGCCGGCTTGCCGGAAGATTGTGAAAGTGTTGATCAACTCACTTGAGACAAAATGCAATTCAAGTTCATGAATGCCCTCACAATGCTTCAACAACCTCTCGAGCAAGTCCTACAAGAGTGTCGTCCTAATTGCCTAATAGCCGACATGATGTTTCCTTGGGCTACAGATTCTGCAGCTAAATTCGATATTCCAAGACTGGTTTTCCATGGAATGAGTTATTTTGCGTTATGCGCTATGGAGAGCACGAGATACTACAAGCCTTTCAAGAACATCTCCTCTGATTCTGAACTCGTTGTCTTGCCTAATCTCCCACACGAAATAAAATTAACCAGAACACAAGTTCCTCATTATGATTGAGAAGAGTCTGAAAATGAATGGAAAACGTTCCTAAATTGATTGAGCGAATCAGAGGTGAATAGTTATGGTGTCGTAGTGAACAGCTTTCACGAGCTTGAACCCAATTATGCTGCTCATTACACGAAGGTTTTGGGCAAAAGGGTGTGGCATATAGGCCCTCTTTCTCTGTGCAATAGAGATATTGAAGGGAAAACACATAGAGGAAAGAAAGATTCCATTNCAGCTTTCACGAGCTTGAACCCAATTATGCTGCTCATTACACGAAGGTTTTAGGCAAAAGGACGTGGCATATAGGCCCTCTCTCTCTGTGCAATAGAGATATTGAAGGGAAAACACATAGAGGAAAGAAAGATTCCATTGATGAACATGAATGTTTACAATGGCTTAACTCCAAGAAATCCAATTCAGTTATCTACTTGTGTTTTGGAAGCTTAGCCCAATTTACTGCTTCTCAATTGTACGAGGTCGCGATAGGGCTTGAATCTTCTGGACAACAATTTATCTGGGTTGTCCGAAGAGGAAAAGAAGAAGAAGCCCATGACGAAAAGTGGTTGCCAGAAGGATTTGAAGAAAGAATGAGAGAGAAGGGCTTGATCATTCGAGGGTGGGCACTCCAAGTTTTTGACACTTGATCATGAAGCTGTGGTGACTCATTGTGGATGGAACTAAACCTTGGAAGGTATCTCTGCTGGAGTTCCAATGGTGACATGGCCGATTTTTGTAGAGCAGTTTTATAATGAAAAGTTGGTGACTGAGATTTTGAAGATTGGAGTTGGTGTTGGAGCTAAGGAATGGAATAAATTGGTGAGTGGGGGGTGTGAAAGGTGACGCCATTGAAAAAGCAGTGACGAAGATAATGGTGGGGGAAGAAGTTGACGAGAGAAGAAGAAGAGCAAAAGAGTTAAAGGAGATGGCAAGGAAGGCCATTGAAGATGGTGGATCATCTTGCTTTGATTTGAATGCTTTGATCGAAGAATTGAGTTCCAAATACTATTGAAGAACGTTGGAGGAAAATAAAATAAAAAAGGATAACATATGTGCTTAAATAACCAAAAAAAACTTTACATGTACCACAATTTTATTGTATAAGAAATAGAATTTCAATATTGGAAGCAAACCCATAATCGAAACATTTCTATATATAAGGTCTAAGATTGCTTGTCCTTCATCTACTTGTTTATGTGCGAGCAAGAGCATCTCTGAGTATGATTTAAGTGTGAATCTAAATTTGAGTAAAAAGTTTGATTTTGTATAGAGTATTTTAATAGAAAAACTCAAATATTTAAAAAAAATTCCCTTATTGTCCAAAGACTCTTTTTTTTTTTTTTTTTGNATACATGTACCACAATTTATTGTATAAGAAATAGAATTTCAATATTGGAAGCAAACCCATAATCGAAACATTTCTATATATTAGGTCTAAGATTGCTTGTCCTTCATCTACTTGTTTATGTGCGAGCAAGAGCATCTCTGAGTATGATTTAAGTTTGAATCTAAATTTGAGTAAAAAGTTTGATTTTGTATAGAGTATTTTAATAGAAAAACTCAAATATTTAAAAAAAATTTCCTTATTGTCCAAAGACTCTTTTTTTTTTTTTTTGTGTCATACAAATCATGATATTTGATAAAATAAATGAAACTTCATATCTCTCCACAAATGGGTAATTTTTTAAAAAATGAATGTGTATACAACAATATATGAGAATAAAGAAAACCACCCCAGAATTCTAAAATTATTTTAATCCTTTATCATTTCTTTTGTAAATTCAGATAACGGAAAAGAAAAAAAATATATAACTATTTTTACATTGACCTGGTTTAAAGAACACAAAAATATATCGTTTTTAACAAAAATGAAAGATTGAAGAAATAAAATGAGATTGACAAGAAAACACTGGCATGGGCGATACACACAATAGCGATGGAGGCTCGGGCGTGTTCATTGGCATGGGCACATTCGTTGGCATGGGCGATACACGCAGCAGCGGTGGAGGTTCGGTGGGCAACTGGTGAGGTAGGGAGAGGTGGCGAGGCAATGAGTGAGGCAGATGGACTATGTAGGCACCAGGCAACGGGCGTGGACAGCAGTAGTGGCCAGCCATGTGCGGTGGGNTATGGACTATGAAGGCACCAGGCAGCGGGCGTGGACAGCAGTAGTGGCCAGCCATGTGCGGTGGGCGACGCAGGCAGCAACGACCATAGTGCAGGCACGCCAGAGATGGGCTAGGGGGTGCCCTGGGCTGGCAATTTGACGGTTGTGTGTGGGGCTGGAACGCAGGTGGTGTTAGGCGTGGTACCTTTGGGTGGCATGATGGAGATTAGCAGCCAGGTGCGCGCGACAGGCGCGGGTGGCACGACTAGTTCGTCAGGTTGCCGTTCTTGGACTCAGGTTACTTGAGGCACTCCAGGTAACGACTTAGGTAGTGTTTCCCACGGTCTCTAATCCAGTAGATATCGTCGGAAGGTCACCTTTGACAACGACGGTTCCAAAGTAAGTACCATCACCAGTTCCCTTAATATTGAAGCTGATATTGCACGGATCACCTCTGCCTTTAGAATACCTCCAACGGTGCTATGTTGCTAGGCTGAGATGGGCGAACCAGCCTGTGATGATTCCTCTGGAGATATTGTTATTTACGAGGAGGTGTTTGAGGCAGGATTGAAGTTTCCCATTCCCTATCCTATTTGCTGCATCCTTCATTCTTTCTCACTCATGCCAGGGCATTTGGCACCTAATGGTTGGAGAGTTATACTAGAATTTCTTGCACTGTGTAGGAGGTTGCATTATGAGGATGCCTCATCTGAAGAGTTTTCTGTCGCCTCTACTTTGAATGAAACTTCTGCTCCCAATCGTGACTGATATTACTTTACTCCGTGAGGAGGAAACTTAATTGTTGGGCTGCACTCCAATTTCCATAGCTAGAAGGCTTGGGTTCAATGCACTTGTTTTCTCTAAAACTATCGAAAGAACCAAGCTTTTGGGCATGGAGATTTGCCTCCATATCATCAAATTCCCAGTTGTCGAGATCGGGTTACTGGAAGAATGTGAAAGTTTAGCTTTCACTTCCAATGACATGGTGCCCATGTTCTTCAAAGCAACGACCATGCTTCAACAACCACTCGAGCAAGTCCTACAACAATTCTGTNAGGCTGAGATGGGCGAACCAGCCTGTGATGATTCCTCTGGAGATATTGTTATTTACGAGGAGGTGTTTGAGGCAGGATTGAAGTTGCCCATTCCCTCTCCTATTTGCTGCATCCTTCATTCTTTCTCACTCATGCCAGGGCATTTGGCACCTAATGGTTGGAGAGTTATACGAGAATTTCTTGCACTGTGTAAGAGGCTGCATTATGAGGATGCCTCATCTAAAGAGTTTTCTGTCGCCTGTACTTTGAACGAAACTTCTGCTTCCAATCGTGACTGATATTACTTTACTTCATGAGGAGGAAACTTAATTGTTGGGCTGCACTCCAATTTCCATAGCTAGAAGGCTTGGGTTCAATGCACTTGTTTTCTCTAAAACTATCGAAAGAACCAAGCTTTTGGGCATGGAGATTTGCCTCCATATCATCAAATTCCCAGTTGTCGAGATCGGGTTACTGGAAGAATGTGAAAGTTTAGCTTTCACTTCCAATGACATGGTGCCCATGTTCTTCAAAGCAACGACCATGCTTCAACAACCACTCGAGCAAGTCCTACAACAATTCTGTCCTGATTGCCTAATCGCCAACATGTTCTTTCCCTAGGCTATCGATTCTACAGCCAAATTTGACATTCCAAGACTAGTTTTTCATAGAGCTTGTTATTTTGCGTTGTGTGCCTTGGAGAGTGTGAGACTTTACGAGCCTTTCAAGAACGTGTCCTCCAACTTTGAACCCATTATTTTGCCTAATCTCCCACATAAAATAATTGTCATTAAAACCCAAGTAAATCCTCATGATCGAAGATAGATTGAAACAAACATGGAAAAGTTGTTTAGTGAAGTGAAGGAGTCGGAATTGAGTAGCTATGGCATCATAGTTAACAGTTTTTATGAGTTTGAACCCAAATATGTTGAGCACTACATGAAGGTTTTCAAAAGAAGGGCATGACATATAGGGCCACTTTTACTTTGTAATATGGATATTGAAGAGAAAACAGAGAGAGGAAAGAAAGCTTCCATAGATGAACATGATTGTATAGAGTGGCTTAAATCAAAGAAACCCAATGCTGTTGTATATTTGTGTTTTGGAAGCATGGCTAATCTTACTGTTGCTCAATTGTATGAGATCGCGAAGGGGCTCGAATCTTTT